GTCGTTTATGAAGAAATGAAGTGATAATAATTGCATATGTTTCGAGTTTAAATAGCAACAGAAACAGATTTGTATTCATTAGATTAATTATAAAAATGGAGAAGTTTATCTGACACCAAGAATAAATATCTTATCGAGACGAGATTCTTTCATGGTCTTGACATCATATCGTTGACATATGCGATCAGCACGATGCAATTTGATAGCTAAAAGTAGTCGAATGAATTAAAAGAACGAAGAAAAAACCTACTTCTGTATACGAATATCTATTTTTAATTCAAATATTTATTCCTACGTGATATATTCGTGTTAGTACTTATCTTTACGAAATTTCTAAAGAGAAACTGGCATCAACTAATTGATACCTTATTAGTGGAATGCAGTGTACAGTCTTTGATCGAAATCTAGCATGCCAAAAGACGTCAAAAAATACACACATCATGTTCTTACATATTTGCGTGAAATACTTACACACGCATTTGAAGAGTATGTACATGACTCAAGTATTTTAATCACTTTATTAGCCTAGAAAAATGAGAACGTATTAGATTTTATCACATTGTTTCATATGAAGGTAAAGTAAAGCTTTTCAATCTATTAATGCAATAATCAGTATCATCCTTGAAAAATACATATTAATTTTGTAAGTAAAATTACTTTGGTTTCTTAGATATGTTCTGCAATATAAATTGATGATTAGTCGTAAAATGGGAATGCAAGCTAGTCAATACTATTACAATTTTCTCTCTATGCGTTTACTCTCGTATTGAAAAGATATTTGTTTAATTCATTTGGAAGTTTTAAATCATGGAAGAAAGAATAATTTTTCTTCTCATTTTCATGCAACAAATAATGACTATATATACGTATATAATGTGAACTGTCATATCGATTAGATAGATAATTGAAAAATGCAAAAAAGAATTCATTAATAATAAAGAATAATACTATTGTTCAAAAGTATAAATTTGACTCCCAAAAACTAGTTTTAGAAAATGATAAGTACGCTAGATCTTATAAAATTTTGCATTATTCGTAGAGAAACTGAAAGCTAGTTTTGTCTTCTATCGACCATGATGTACGTATCTTCATAAATGATCGTTCACCTATGATGCAAAATACGTTTATGATGAACTTATGTTGAATTACTGGGCAGTATTATTCCTTATATCCATTGGTTTTCATAGATACGCCTTGAATGTTAAGTTCTGATGAAAGATTTTTTAGTTAAGAATCTTTTTGTTCAATTGTTTGATGAATTAAAAAATTAATATTCAATAATGTACGTCAACTATAAAGGTTTAAAACACTATACAATGAGTTTTAACAGTAGATAATCTAAAGTAATCGATATTTGTTTATTCGAGAAAATTGAATACATAGCATTAAAATTGATACTAAACTTATAGATCAGACTGTAATTTAGCAAAAAGCTTGCAAAATTTTTTTCATTGTATGTGTAGTCATTAATTAATATTAAAACAAAACCATGAAGCCATTTTTATCGGTATCAATACTAATGACACAAATCAAGTGCTAATATCAGAATTGTTTGTAGAATGGTGCATGAGATTATTCAATCCTAAGCATCATATTCTCCTATAGAAGGTCTCATTTGTAAATTATTTTGTTCCAAAAAATATATAGTGTTAACACATTAGTGTTACAATTTTTAATAACAATGGCATTTGATGATTATTATTATTAAGTTCATTGAATTCGATAATTTGTATGTACTCAAGTATGACATTGAACATTCGAAGCATGATCCGACGATAAAATATAAATAGAAAATTAATTGATAGTAAACGAAGAAAGACAAAGGTTTGTTGTTTATGATAGAAATGAATGTATTTTTATGACTTTTACACCATATTTTTGTTTACTGACATTATCTGCCATTATTTCATACTGGTTTAAAGCTTCATTCTCTCGTCTAACAAAATTAGATTGTTTTATGTTATATTTATTCTGTAATATGAAATGATGTCATCATTATCGAGAAAGATCATTTTTTGTAAGTAAAAAAAAAAAGCTCACGACTGATAGTATTGATTGATTTCATTTTCCTCTGTATGAAATTATGCTTGGCAAACAAATTTTTCTTACTCATTTAGGAGAACGAAATGAAATTAAATCAGTGCATTGCATACGACCCTATGATTAGTAGCAATAAATGAATCATATTGAGTGATATTAATAATAGTTTTTATAAGATATTTATATTGTGTCATCATGAGAAAATTCTTTATATTTAGACATTCTATCCCTAATTTCGTGCTTCTACAGGATAAATTGAATCTTGTGATGATTCTTCATAACTGTATAGATTACGTTAAGAATAACGATTCATTACGATGAGCAGTATATTTCAAAACATTTTTCTTTTTTTTTTCTAATATTTTCTTGCTGCAAAATTTTAATTACATTACGTCATATATAGTTATTGATGACATTTTGTAATAATTATCATTATTAATATACATTTGGCGACATATTAGCGACATTTATGTTTTGTTTTTTGACATAGATTGTAAATAGTGTTTCTATTTATTTGTCCTTGTTTTGTTTTCTGGTTTTCATAGAACAATAGTGTTCTATTATCTTTGTCTCCTTCCTAGGCCAACATATTTATTTTTATTACATTGTTCTTTTTGTTTTTTGATAGTAGTTTGAAGACGATCTTTCTCTATTCTCGAACATTCAGCGTCATCTATTCAATGACGATTCTCAAATAATGTGTCATACGCATTACATACTATTAGTTAATCGAACTTCCAATTATAAGTATAAAAGAAAAAATAAAAAAAAATAGAATTGATTTAAAAAATGATTACTAATTGAATATTAGACACAAAAATAAGTCAGATAATTTTTGCGTGGACTTTCTTCTTTTTCAATAATATTCTGTTTATTTACTTTTACAGGTCTATCTCACATGACAACATATGTGTACTTAAAAATAATATTTATGTGTTGTTTTTAAGCCGATGTTCTGAAAATTGAATTTTAGACAAAATTTTGCCTATCAATCTATACCACATTTGTTTTTTTTCTCTAATTTACTTTTGTTAATCTTTTTTTCAATTGATTTTAATTTAATTCATATCACATGCTAATTTCAATTATAAACGCCTACCTATAAGCTTTGGTTGTTTTTGCTGATACTTTTTTTATTTTCTTCTGAATTTTTTCATTGTGTTTTTTTTTCCAATTATGATGATGTTGGGAAGAATGAGAGGACAGGTGTAGCAGTTGCTTAGAGAACAAACATGTATTCTATAAGGCAAAACAAAATTTTAACAATCAACGGCATCTGTGTATTTACTTCACTGACTCATAAAATGCACAATGACAAATACAAAACGATGAGAATGAAAAGAATTGCTGGTGTTTCATATAAAATGGTGAAACAAAACGAAGATCTTCATTCTTTCTACAGCATACATTTTTAACATTTTCTCTGCGTACAGGTTGTATTATGCAAATATTGATAAGCAACATGTCGTAAAGTGAAAAATCTCATTCATCTTATTTCATTTTATCTTTTCCTTTAATGACTTTCAGATTGTCATGTGATGAAATTTCACGCGATTCATTTTAAAATACTATAGATTATGGTTTCGCTTGGCGAATGTCGTTTTCTTAATCGTGCATTAACAATTGATGATATATCGAAAAAACCAAATTGTAAAAATCTTAAATTTAAACGTGCTTTTCAATTTCTTCAATTCCTACTTGTTCAACGTGTTTATGGTATTGATATAACCACATGTCCAGGAGTACGAAAACCATCAAAAGATTCTCAACAAGAACAAGAACAGGAACAACAACAACCACAAAATTATCAAGTTTTTTTAGGTGGTTCATGTAATCCTACTACATGGCGACGGGATCAAGCTATACCTTACTTGCAATCACGTTCAGTTTCTTTTTTTAATCCACAAGTAGCTGATTGGACACCGGATCTTATTGAAATAGAACATCGTGCAAAAGAATTAGCTCCACTTCTATTTTTTGTTATTGATCATGATACTCGAGCATTAGCATCTATTGTTGAAGTATGTTATTTAGCAGC